TAGAAAACATAATACTTTTGTTGAAGAGAGGTGTTCTTGAAGCTGCTGACAGCAACTTGTAGCTAGCAACCTTTGTGGGCCCAAGAGCAATGATGCTGAGACAGACCTGAGTGCAACATTCTTTGGTTTCAATTCTGAGTTTTTGAAGCAGACAGAACCCCTGATGTAGGGCTTACAAGATTTTATTTTGTTCTGCTAATATTTGACCTTCTTATCACTAGGCAAGAAATGTCACTTTGAACCAATAGGTACCAAAAGTTAAAAGCCCATACAACTCCAAAAAGGGTCATGAACAACTAAAAAGAATATGTATCTTATTGAAATCATTTCTTCAACAAAGAGTATTCATCTGCAATCTCACACTTGAATTATTCCAATTCAGAGAGATGCACTCTCCTCTGCTAACATTCTTAAAATTACACTCCAATTATACTCCAGTTTAACACTGAATCCTGTCTCTTAAATAACGAAAATACTTTATGGTTGGCCTAGAAATTCATTTAGGGATTAGTGAACCCTGTTTTGCCTAACATGAATGATTTGCCTCACTTTTGTCCACTCGGAAGTAATTTTATCTTAACACTAATGAAACCAAAGAGTTTAACTTTTGTCACTTAACAGAATCTATTCAGTGAGTAATTTTGGCATGACCAGTGACTTATAACTGAGAATTTAAAACCCATATTAAACCTTACTCTTTCTGCTCATTACCGTTTTCAGCTTATACCATTCAGTTCAGGAAAATGTAAATGAAGATGCTACTAACAGTTTTAACTTAATTAGTATTCTAATATTTCACCAAAATAATGTCAAATGGAATTGTATTTAACCACTTTGCAATATTTGGTAAGATTTATTTCATTAAGGAGGTCTGTGGCATCTGTAATGTATTCATCATGTTTCATAATCAGTGCTTTACTTGAAAGCTGCAGTTTTCTGAGGCTTGGCTTATAGTTATTTTGGTCTCTTTCACTGTTTTTTTTTTTTTTTTATAATGGTCACTTTCAAGAATATCCAAAGCAAGCTCAGAGACAAGATTATGCTGAATGATTGGCATGAAATATACTGCTGAAGAATATTTCCAGTTTCTTAATGCATTCAGAGTAATTTACAGTACTTTTCATGACTGCAGTGACGAGTAAATCCACTTTTTGCAGGGATTTGGTGATACGAAAAATCAGCTGCTGTAACAATTCATCGATGTATCATCAGAGTTTAGTGCTGGACTTCAGCATTGTCTGTCTTCCATTATATTCTCATAGGCAAGCTTGAAGTGTCGACTGGATGAGTGTACAGATAGTTTGATTTATGAACTGGCTGGCTGGCAGAGCTCAGAGGGTCATGATTAGCGTCACAGAGTCTGGTTGGAGGCCTGTAGCTAGTGGTTTCCCCCAGGGGTCAATACTTGGACTAGTATTGTTTAACTTACTCATCACTGACATGGGTGAAATAATAGAGTGCCTCTTCAGCCAGTTTGCTGATACAAAACTGAGAGGGAGTGACTGATACCCTGGAGTGCTGTGCTGCCATCCAGAAGGATCCTGACAGTCTGGGGAGATTAGAGATGAACACCTTGAAATTCAACAAAGGTAAGAGAAGGTCTTGCACCCAGGGAGGAATAACCACATGTATCAGTACAGTTTAGGGGCTGATATGCTGGAAAGGAACAGTGAGGAGAAGGACCTGGGTGTCTGGTGAACAGCAGGCTGGCCATGAGCCAGCAGTGTGCCCTTGTGGTCAAGAAGGCCAATGGGATGCTGGGATGCATTAACAAGAGTGTGGCCAGGAGGTCAAGGGAGGTGATCCCCCCTCTACTCTGCCACATCTGTGAAGCCGTATAGAGACTACTGTGTTCAGTTCGGGGCTGCTCAGAGAGATGTGAGGCTACTGAAGAGAGTCCAGTGATGGGTTACTAAAATAATGAAAGAACTGAAGTTCCACTCCTTTGAGGAAAGGCTGAGGGAGCTGGGCTTGTCCAGCCTGGAGAAGGTTTGGGGGATACTGATCAATGTCCACATGGATCTGAATGGCAGGTGGCAAGAGGAAGGTTCCAGACTTTTTACAGTGGCTCCTAGCAATAGGATGAGAGGAAATGGGAACAAACCAGAACACAAAAGACTCCCTCTGAACATAAGGCTGTATTTCTGTGCTGTGTAGGTGATGGAGCATTGGCGCAGGTTGCCCAGAGGCTGTGGAGTCTCTTTCACTGGGGTTATTCAAATGCTGACTGGACACAATCCTCAGTAATGTGTTGTAGGGGACTCTGCTTGAGCAGGGTGTTGGGCCAAGTAATCTTCAAAGGCCCCTTCCAACCTCAAGCAGTCTGTGATTCAGTGATTCTGCAATTAGTGCATATTCTGTCTAATAGGAGCTGAATTCCAAAACTTGGGTAAGCATTCAGAGAAAAAATGCCAGAAAACTGCTGTTCCTGTAAGAGTAAACTAACACACTCCTAAACTGTACATTTCATATAAGAAAAAATATAAGTTCTGTACGTACAAAAGTAATACTAACCATTCACAAGTATTCAATGAAAAATGTCGTAACAATGTCATAATGTCAAACACAATGTCATAATAATCTCCTTATAAAACTAGTTTCTAATAATTCTAGTCATTTTTCTGCGTTGAAATGAAAAGATATCCCATTAAAATATGACTACAATCCTGCTGATGATATTATTATTACTATTTATCATGTTACTGGAAAAAGAGAGACAAAGATATGCAAACAGTTGATATATAAAAAAAAGATAAATAAGAAGCAAGGAAACCTTTTTCCAAGACTATATCAATGTACATCATGGTAACTTTATTTTGTGTTTTGCACTGATTTTCTTGTAGCCACACACTCATCATTTTCAAGTAATCGGCTTCATTAACTTAAGTTTATTTAGTTCTGTAAATTCAGTAACTTCACATAGGTTAGAAAGATGGGAATTTTTTTTGCAATCATGAAACGTGTCTTAAAACAAGTGAATTTGATTCATTGAATGGTAGCTTTTCAAGGAGCTAATTTTTAAATTGCTGTAGTCAGTGGTAACAGATGGAAACACTGTCCCCTTGTGGATAGGAATATGAGGAAAGTGATATCGTATCTTACTGATAGCAACAGTTAACTTGGGCATTAGGAGCTTCATTAAGAAATTAATTAGAATTCTGCCTTATATACTGCTCATGAATAATAAAAAAAAATGAATGTACAAAATATCTAGAGGTCCTTTTAATTTAAATTGGTTGCCCAACAAACAACACAGGGTAAAGACTGAGCTAATGTCTCAGTATAATCTCTGATAATACCATCAGTCCACACTGTCATCTAAACCTAACTGCTCTAGGCAGCTGCAGCGTTGCCCTCATTTGAAGAAGGCAGTTTTGTGAAAAACATATGCAGAGAAGAGAACTGGAGAGAGCTTCAGTGACTGGAGGGGTATTGATTCATAGCTGACTGGAGACATAGCTGTTGTTTCAAATGTTAAATTATCCATAAATATTACAGATTGTCCGTACGAATCATCATCTCTGATCCATAAGAACTACCAGAAGATGCCAGAACTTTCATACCTCAGATCCGGGATAATCAACAGCAGCTTCACATTTCTGCATGAGGAAGCAGAACTTTCTAGAACTGCTTAGAAATTAGGGGACATTTCTCATAGGAAGTATTCTGGTTTACAAAGTCAGTCCTTCCCTGCAGCAGGCAGTCAGTCATAGCTTCCCTAACCAATTCATCATGTTACGTCTTTATCAAGATTTGTCTCTTGATTGTCTCAACTGAATGAACGTTCTGAAATGCCACTAGAAACCTCATAATTCATAGCTCAGATATATTCATGGTCACTGTATATCTATTCCTTCCCTTATTCTTTTGTTTAAATACCTTTTTCTTCTCACTGTTTAATCCGTGATAGACAGCAATGCTGTTCCTCTGAGCCTTCATTTTGTTGAAGTAAGTGAGCCACACACTAACAGCTTCACTGTACAGGAAGAGCTCCCTAAGTGCTCCCATAAAATCAATGTTTTTAGTCTTTTAGTCTTATCAGTGCACAGTATTTCTCTGTCCCCAGTGGGAATACTTTGACCGATATCTTCTTTGGCAGTAGTGGGTTTTTTTACACTGTAATGTCTCACAGATATCCTGAGAAGATGAGCTAACCCACTAGTGATCTCACCCTTCATTTGTAGTGATTATTCACCAATTTATTGCGGATTTTTTTTTCCCAACCATGTAGGAAGCTGCGCTGATTTAGAAACAAGCTGATGCTATCCTTCGGAAATCTGCCACCACAAAGTGCTTTGTGGCTAACCAGTTTCATATTGAGATGCGGGTTTGTATGTGGCTGAGAAGGGAGTGATGGGGCATCTGATAAGAGGACTTCCCTAACTGTGATAAGTGGAACTCCAGGGTTCTCCACATAGCGTGTCAAACCCGCTGCTCTGTCTATATGAACTGATGGAAGAGCTGTTTGAAGGGTTGAAGATGGAAATGTCATGAGAGTCATTGCAGAGTTAGACAAACATTTGTAAATACCTATTCATACTTTGAATTCAAATTACGCCCCATTCCTAAATCCCTCATGTCAGATGAGTTCAGAGTGCACATCAACAGATGGCTAGGGGACACTGTGGAATTCCACTAAAAACACCAGACACGGCAGATACATGTTCGTTTGGTTTTCATGCCGCAGGTCACCGTGACAGTCAATTACAAATCAAAAGTGAAAAAGAGGAAATTCTTCAAGCTCTTTTCCTCTGTCTCGTTTTTTAGCGCTAGGAAGTAAAGAAGCAGACTGCGTATTCCTGTGCTCCTGTGGCCTCCAGCCACTCCGAGCCGCTCCCCTCCGCCGCAGCCCGCCTCAAAAGGGGAAGCCAGCTAGCGAACGGCACTGCCTCGCTCTCTCAGCACGGCCCCGCAGGGCTGGCGGCCCCGCGGGCGGAGGCGGCGCCTACCGCGTGACATCGGGGCGGCCGCGGCGCTGAGGTCCCAGCCCGGCCCGGCCCTTCGTGCCTCCCGCCCGTCATGGCGGTGCCGGGACAGGGCGCGGAGGGGAGGTCGGCGCTGCTTCTGAAAGTCGTGATGGCCGGGGAGTCCTGCGTGGGGAAAACCTCCATCGTGCGGAGGTACACGGAGCCCAACGCGGCTGCCGCCTTCTCCTCCTCCTCCTCCTACCTGCCCACGATCGGTGAGTGCCGGCTCCCCGCGGGCCGGCCCTGCCCGCGCTCTCCCGCAGCCCTGGCTCCGTCCCTCCCGCTCCCCTTTCACTCCTTCTCTCCTTAGGCTGTCCGTGCCTGCCCGGCTTTGCTGCAGGTGCCCGGTGCCAGCGTCGTGTGGGTGCCTGGAGCGGTACTGCCGGGTGGGCTGGCCGGGGTGTGAGGGCGCACGGCAGTGCTCGTGCTTCTGGCTCCAAAAGCGCTTCGCTCCAGCTCCTGTCACTGTGCTTTTCCTGTGCGGAGGCAATTGTTTTGTGTTGTGCTGGTGCTCGTGGCTCCAGCTGGAGGCTTGGCTGTGGCACACCGCTGTGCCTGCAGGGAAAATTGCCTCTACTTCAAAGAGCTCTCGGATTTCAATAAGACTCCCAGTTCCTCCGTCTTTCCTGTGTTGACTTTGTGTTAATGCGTTTTGATGGTGTAAAGTCAAAGATCGTTTGCTATAAGTAGCTACATATGTCACTGCTGAAGCAGAACCACTGTTCAGTTGGAAATGATCATCCCCATTGAATGCAGAGGATGGAGCGTTCCCCATCCAGCACCCCAGCAGCCCTGAGGTGGCGGCCAGCTTTCCACTGCCCCATCCTTTGTTACCCTCAGAATGGAGAGCTGACCCTCAGCATGCATGATACAGACATTTTATGGATTTCTGAGTGGGAAGTCTTCATTTTTTAAGTATATAGAGACTTCCTCACGTCAGGGTTTAAACTGCTTCCCGTTCTCCTGAACCTTCTTACAAAGCATCTTCTGAAACCATCACAAACAAAAGCATAGTGAAATGGGTCCTTAAGCAGGCAGTCTATTATGAACTTTAACAAGGACTCTCAAGGAAGATCCATGAAAATAAACACCACCTTTAACAATACACTTTGTATTAGAACTTGCATTCCTAGCCTTGAGATTATTATTTTGAAACGGATTCTTTTTATTTTTAATTCAGACGACCATAGAGTCAAAAACTCTGATGTACTGATGACGCCGAGAATATGTTTGTACTATTGTAGGTTGAAAGAGTTTAAAGAGTAACAAAGATAAAACTGTTTTGTGGACCAAACATAACCTTACATAGTTTTATTACTGTTCCTATTACTGTTCCTATTGAGTGATTTAAAAACTTGTTTAGCATATGGTTTCCACAATAGTCATGTTGAAGGTAGAAGTTCTGTGCTCTCAAGGACAGACACAGCTGAGAAAATGGAAGTTTCAGTCTTTGCAGCACAGCTGTGGTCAGTAATGGTGTAAAGGAAGAAGATGCATTGCCACAGTTCAGATATTTTTTAATCATCGTGTCTTATTCCTCTTTGTCGACGCTATCAAAATAAATGTTTTCAACTGCATGCCAGTTTCACACAGGCTCAGCCCAGTGAGCCCTATCTGCTGTGCAGCCTATTGAGCGCTCATCTGATGCTTTCCCTCTACCTGTTGTCCAGCTGGAACACTTTTAAGAGTAGCGGAAAGCTTATCCAGACTGTTCAAACATCTGCATTTCCTGACAAAATTGTATGTCACCACCACCATCAGCGGCAAAGGGTCACAGCTAAAGAAGCTGAAAGGTTGTCTTGCGGCTGTGAAGAATCCTGTATTGTCATGAGTCACGGGTTTGTGCTACTAGAAAAAATCTGAGTCTTATTGCAGGAAAAAAAAAATCCAGCTAGGCTCCGGTAGTGAAATTTTCTAAATTATGTATTTTATGAAAAAAAAAAAAAAAAAGTGTCCACAGTAAATTTTCATTGAAAGCCCTTTATGTGACACTTAAACACTCAAGGATGGGTGCCCTTCCTCCTCCTCAATTATGCAGTTTGGGCAAATTATAAGCAGTTAAAGTTTTCTAATTAAACTTATACGCATCATAAGGCAGATGCATTGCGTTGTGAATGGTAGGTTGTAGTAGGCTATAAAGAATAAATGTTTTTGTTTAAACAATGGCATTGCATATAACGCCACAGGGAAAGTTTATGAACAGAAAAAGCCCTCTTGGATATAAGTGAATAGGTTTGTAGGTTCATGACCTCACAGTCTGTAAGGCTTTTATTTTGCTGGACTGTGGTCCCAAAGGCATGGTTTCTGTGGGAAAGTCTGTAGAGGTGTAAATCCTCCCTAACCTACTGTAGGGAACCTGCATTAGCAAGGGGTTGGACTTGATGAACTCCTGAGGTCCATTCCAACCCCTAAAATTCTGTGATCTCTGTGAATACCCCAATACTTACTCAGGAAATAGAATTTGTCAGCAAAAATTAATTATATCCTAGTTGTAATCCTCATCTTAATTTTTTTTTTGTTTATTTTGTGATTGGATTTCTGCACTCTTCCTTAGCAAGCTATCTTCTCCCGTGAGTTGTTTTTCTTAGCAAAACAGTGATTTTTGGTGTTTGTGACCATTCAGATACTACTCACATTCAGATATTCCTTGATGTGCAGAGGAAGGAAGTGTCTGGTTGAAGTGATGCACCAACATGGTAAGGGCTCAGTGCTGGATAGGAGAATCACAGTTGATACTCGATTCAGGTAAGGTGGCTCTGGGGCCAGAAAAGTGAGTCCCAGCTGTTTCATGGGCTGAAGTCCACCACCAGTCATGAGCACTCACAACACATCAGTGGATTTCTTTTCACCAGCTGCTGTTAGATGATGAGATCATTACAACAGCAACCTAGTTATTAAGTCTCATGCTTGCCAGGAGCTTCCAGCTCTTCCTATCAGCTCTGCCCTGGCTATTGCTGTGCAGGACATCTCACCAGGATCTCAGCATTCTGCTGAATTGCTCAAACTCCCTTTCCATCTGGACAGGAATATTTTTGGGCATTTTATATCAGGACCATCTCAGATGTATCAGGGTGAAAAGTGTGTTGTGGTTTTCGTAGAATCATAGTATCTTTTGAGTTGGAGGCACCTTAAAGGTCATGTAGTCTCGTTCCCCTGAAATGAACAGGGACACCCACAGCTGTCATGTTGCTCAGTCATGTTGCTCAGAGCCCTGTTCAGCCTGACCTTGAATGTCTCCAAGGATGAGGCATCCACCATTAATTTGGGCAACTTGTTCCAGTGTCTCACCACCCGAACTGTAAAAAACTTCTTCCTTTTGTCCACACTAAATCTCTCCTCTTTTAGTTTGAAACTGTTACTCCTTGTCCTGTCCTTACAGGCTCTGCTAAGGAGTCTGTCCACTTCCCTCTTATAGCCCCCCTTTATATACTGGAGGGCCACTATTGGATCTCCACAGAGCCTTCTCTTTTCCAGGCTCAACAGCTGCAGCTCTCTCAGCCTGTCCTCATAGGAATGATATTCCATCCCTTGCAACATTTGTGTGGCCCTCCTCTGCACACACTCTAAAAGCTCCACATGCTTCCTGTACTGAGGGCTCCACATCTGGATGCATCCGGGTGAGGCCTCACCAGCACAGAACAGAGGGGCAGGATCACCTCCCTCACCCTGCTGGCCACGCTTCTTTTGATGCAGCCCAGGATACAGTCGGCTTTCTGAGCTGTGAGGGCACACTGCTGGGTCATGTCCAGCTTACCACCCACCAGTACCTCAAGTCCTTTTTGGCAGGCCTGTGCTCCATCCTTACATCGCCCAAGTTGTACTATTAGCAGGGGCTGCCATGACCCAGCTGCAAGACCTTGCACTTCGATTTATTGAACCTCTTTAGGTTCATCAGAGCCCACTGTTTAGTAGGCAGGCTGCACAAAACCGCTTGGAAGAGGACTTCTATAGACAATCAGAGACTGTTTCATAGATATTGAGGGAGGGGATGGGCAATTCACAACTGAATTCCTATATGGCTGACTATTTTAATGCTTCTTAGGCCTTGCAGTATTTAAAGTGCTTCAGTCCTCATGTGGGCATACTTAATATTTTAAGTATAAAGAAAATAAATTAATGTCATGGTTATAAAACTTGGACATAACAACTAGAATTTGAGTTTTTACCCAGTGTACCCATTCTTTGTATAATTTGACAGGTTAAGAGAAGCAAGTACAAGCTGCTGCATTCAAATTATGTTTATCTCAAGAGCAGTAATCAATGCTAGCATTGTTATGTTGTTCATCTTACATAGTACGTGGGCTTAAATGCATCTGAAATCTGTGAGCTGTCTCTTTGGCATTGTATTTCTCATTTTTCTTTTTTGTCTTTTCAATTTGCTAAGTTTGCATGAAATTTCATATAAAGACATGAACAATTCATGCATGCAGAACGTATCGACTTCTGTTTTTCACTAACATTCATTGACCTTCTAGGTCAATAAATTTTGAAGTTGACTTAAGAAGTCAATATGCCTTATTTTAATTTAGATTAAGGTTTAGCCTGATTCAGCACTCTGCTTCCCTTCTTATAAACAAAAAAAAGCTTATATCAATTTATTATTAAAATGTACATCAAATCAGAACTGTTTCCTATAGGGCTGGGGATCCCTCTCTGGAATATAGTTTTTCTCTGTGTTCCCAATGCATCGTTTGAAAGTGACATTCCAGCCTTCCAGTGCTTGCTTGGTCCCTCTCAAGTGCTCTGATATCAATTGTAGAAAGCTATGCAGATAATTAAACAAAACTGTGCGAATTTCAGGAGCAAATGTTTTCCATAACGTTCAAATCTCAACTTACACAAGCACACAGACAAATCTGGCTTAAATTTCATTTCCAGCTAACATTCTTAATTCCATCAAGGAAGCTTTGTGTGATATTAATTACAGACACTGATTATATAATTTCATCTTCCCTTGTCATGGAAGCTTCAGTAAAAATTCATCAAATGAAGGACATGATTATCATAATAATTTTAAACTCTTTTACCACATATACCCAAAAATGTTGTTACCCTTGGAATCTTGTATGAGAGCACATACTTTTCAACATTTTGCACGCAATACATTCAGAAATTTAAAAAAAAAAAAAAAAAAAAAAGGCAGGGAAAGTATTTTTCATTGCATTTTTATTTTGTTGCCAGCAAAAGCCATTTAGCAGTAACACTGCTTTTTCAGTTTTTGTAGTTGTTTCAAATGGCATCACTATGGGTGACAAGCTGTCCTGAAGTTATGTGGCTGTACTTTGACCTTGTGGATTCTTGACCATGGGGAAGGCTGTGCTACCTGCTATGGCAATGATACCTTACCTTTACTTAACGTAACTGACAGAAATAACCTTCATAAATTGTAGGGGGAAAATCTGAGCAGAGAAACCAGTAAAAAGTATTTCAAAAGTATTTCAAATATTCAGCAGTAGAGTAATTGGAGAGGAACATTGTTCCTCTAAGGCAGCAGTGATAGCATGCAGATTCCAGCCTTATTTTGGAGCTGCAACAGCCTACAAATCCAGGAATCATTTACCACAACTGGAATAGTAACTGGACAGTAGAGTAGATGAGAACACTACAAATAGTAAGAAGTATCTTTAAGGAAAGATGTGTAATGTATGTAGAGACAATGTATGGCACTGTTTTAAAGTGCTAATGCCTGATTTTAGCATTAACACCCTGTATTTGGGATAAAGAGAGATTAAGACTGTAGAGACAGATGTTGTTGATTTGAATGAATTTCAGTGTATGCTCATCTTTGCATTTAATTAATAAGCTAATTTCTGTTCCTGTTCATGCTACCCTAGATTATTTTTTTAGGAATTTGTAAGTAAAAACAGAAAAATGGCACTTTGCATGTAACAGCTTTGTAAGCATTTATTGCTAACTATAGCTGTTCTGTGATGAAACTGTAAGCAACTGAAATCACCACTGCATTTGCCTAGTATTAATGCGCCTAACCCATAAGGCTGCTGTCCTGCCACATGCCTATGAATGGAATATGTACATGTACACGTAGTGTCAGAATATCTTTTGCTTTGACAAGCCCATCCATTGCTTTTATTGTAATGTATTGACACACAACCGTTTTCACCACTGAATAATTTTCTTTCCGACTTCCATTTTGAAGGCGCATGGTTCCTTATTCTTTGTTTGATATGATTCCTTTTCATTTTCTGTTTTAAACTGCACGATAACTAGAATTGAAAAACATTCTTCAAATGGAAATCCGTGCTATTATCAGAAATGTTACAGATTTTCTTCTTTCTTCTAGGCATTGATTTTAAAGTGAAGTGTATAACACTGAGTGGTACAAGAGTGAAACTTCAAATATGGTAAGTTTTAATCTATGTCACAAATGAAAGCCAACTAATGTACATTACAACATGAAAAAATCTCGTCTGTTTTTAATCGCATGCCTTTGTAAAGAGCAAATATTATGTTGTAGGTCATTTTAAAATTTGAATTTAGTAAGTTAAAAAGAAAATTGTTACTAGGTCGCTTTAGCAAAATTCTACTTTTCCAGCATGCAAACAATGCAGATCTACAAACCACATTAATTATTTTTAATTGTATCAGAACACTGTGGAAGTGAGAAAGCAAGAAAATTCTGTATTTCATTAATGAACAAGTGCATACTCAAAAGCCTGCCAAGAGAAAACTATTTTGATGGATCTTTGAGAACCTACACTATTTTTGTTTGTTTGTTTTGAAGCTTTTCGAAAGGGTATTTAGGAATGCTGACAGCCATGCCTACAGGTATCCCATACAGAAGATTACCTATATTTACAAGTATCTAACATCTTGAGAAGTAAGTGTACATGAATTCACCAACCAGTATTAGACCTTAAGTTGCTCCACCTCAGGTTTTAGTACAAAAATCTTGAAGGCTTGTTGGCAGCTTTCTTAAAGCATAATTGCAGATGGAATCTCTGCATCCTCTTACATTGTGTCTTTTTCCCCAAACTTATCTTCCACCTAAACCAGCTTCCTGTCTGTGTCACAGTTTACAGAATGCTACCATTCTACAGTTTGTTCATTGGTATCAAATTTATTTCTTTATTGGGGACTTTTTGTGATTTCTTTCAGGGATACTGCAGGCCAGGAACGATTCCATACACTCAGTACAAGCTATTTTCGTGGAGCACAAGGCTTTGTTCTTGTATATGACATCACAAATCTGGACAGTTTTCAAGGTGTAACAAGCTGGATGAAAGACATACATGAGGTAAATAAATCTAACAGTGGTCGATCTTTTAATGAAGGTAATCAGTGAGTTAATGCAGTTTATGTTTTAAGTGACTGCATGAAATTTATCATTATTCCTTGAGCTGTAAGTTCCTAACCACGATTTCTTACTTCTAACTCAGCATATAGTATGATAGTAGGATTACTGTTATGTGAAACTGAAAGACTGCGTAGATTATCCAGAACAAGCCCTTACTGATGCAGCAGTGCTTTTTTGAAATAAATTGAAAATAAATCTCTTAATCCAGTTTTGCACATACTGAGTTAAAGTGCTTTTGTCACCAGCGTGACCGTTCATAACACCAACAAGCCAATCTCCATGAGCTCATCCAAGGATTTTAACTAGCTTCAGTGTCAAAATTAACCAGTGATTTCCCATTCCTAATTCCATTATTTTTGCATAGTTGCTTCATCCCAAAAATCAAATTAAACAAATCAAATGAAAGATCTTATTTCCCCTTTCTGGATATTCCCTTTCAGAGGATGGTTTCAAGGTGGAGAAACTGACAAAAAGGACCATCGTTTTTTGGTGGCTTAGCTCAGCTACCTGTAGCACTGCAGCCAGGGAAATGTGGTTTCAGGTGACATAGGAAGTGATTCAGCGGTACGTGGCTGCCAGACAAGGTGTTAGTTCCCACCTACTTTGTCCTGGGTCTGAATATTTTCTCCTGCTCTGCTTCTGGAGCCTGTCAGATCTCCCAGAGCTTCACTGCACCTCTCTAACGTGGTGGAAAATTAACAGCCAAAACGGTTGGGTAGGTTTCCACTGCATTACTGGGTTTATGAGGTTCACAGAAAGGTCTGACAGATATTAGACTTGGCATAAGGTAAGGGGGAGGAACAAGAAGGCCAGGAGAATAATGCGTGGGAACAATGTGAGGAAGGAACTGAGGAGGGAGGAGCTGACAAGCCTTCAGGCATCAGGTCCTTGAGCTGATCCCAGTATGCTGAGCCTGTATTACTCAGTCCCTCTTGATATGTTTTCCATTGGATAGAGACAGGTCCATTTTCTAAGTAATAACATGAAAGTTTGTAGTTACTATGATTGTATATGATTCCAAATAAGATAATGCTTGTTGTTGATTAAAATAAAAAAAACATGCAGACAGGTGTTTTTTTTTTAACAATACTTAACAACCTCCTCTGAATATGATGTAATGAGTGGAAGAGCCCATTTCAGAAAGCAGGTTCAGAAAAAAACCATCAAATTTAATCCTTTTTTCTTGTCACCCATTCAGTATGCAGATGAATTAATGAACAACACACAGTCATATATCCAATAATATATACTTAGGATATTAATGCTGTTGGTAAGACATTGCATATACATTACTTCAGTATGAAGAACATTACTATGGTAATGTAGTGCATCATTATCCCTGACCTTACAGCTATCTTGGAAGTCTTAGTGTCAACAGAGCGTAACTTCAATAATGTGCTACAAAGGAAACCTGATGATAAAATATTCTTACTGACTTGTCTGAACGCACTTCAACCTAAAACACGTGTTTTATCATTTTGTTAAGAAAAGTGCATGCCCTTCTGTCAGACAAACCAACAAGTCGTAGAATCATAGAATCACAAGGTTAAAAAGGACCTACAAGATCATCTAGTCCAACTGTCCTCCCATTACTGTTGCTAATGTGGTATGGTTTCATGATTAGCTACAATTTAACTCAGCACTCAGCACGATAGTAGCTGAAAGTGTAGATTACCCATGTATATCCCCTGAGATGATATATACATATATAGCATGTATATGGATATACATAGCTATATTCTGGAAGTAATGCCTCCTATTTATTTCCATTGAAATAACAGATAGAAAGAATGCAGTAGCACTGTTCAATAAAGCAAGTATTCAGCTACTGCAGGGGAGCTGTTAGGTCATAACCTGAACTGATGATGGAGCACCTGGTGAAGGGGGTGGCTGGCCCAGGAAGCACAGGTGCAAACAATTTACCTGTGCTTCCCATGTGACCAGAAGGGGGTTTATGGCTCCCCCCTCCCCCTCCCTTCCTCCTAGGCTCATTTAAGGGCTATGCTCTGAATGGAGAACATTTCGTGGATAAAGGTTGCTTTTTTCAAGAGCGTTTTACAGCCAGAGATCCTCGTCACTAGCTGAGTGAGTCATCTTTTTTTCCCTGTGTATGACTATTTGTATACCTAACAGTACTTTACCTTGTATTGCAGAGAACTTGTCAGAAGCAGTTTTGCTGCTTCATAGGATAGACAGCTACAAAACACTATTTTTTGACAGTTGCCACCACTAGCTCTGCATTTTCAGCAGTGATGAGCAAGATTCTGTATGTCATGCTCATAAAAATCTGCGCCAGTGGAGGTGATCTACCATCGCTACTGCTGAAAACACACCACACACCACCTCACTGTGCTCACATCCACTGTTGGCTCTCCAAAAATATTCAGCGTCGGTGAATATCAGTAGGTGCAATTTTTTCCCCTTGCAGGACTTCAGTGACGCGTTATTGCTTCATACACATTTCTGTATCAGTTGCTATTTTGTCAGACTGCTCCTCTTCTGCTGTCTGTCAGATGGTAACAAAATGTGACGGAATATTGATGGGAAACTTTGATCTCTGATGTCATGGGCCAATATAATCAAATAGGAGGTGTTACTTTTGGAGCAGCCCACACGCGTATTGTATGAAATATAGCCCTGACTTCATGCAGTCATTGGAGGGGTCATTTTTGTCCTATCGTCTTTAATTACAAAAATGGAATGGTTGAGTCACTGGGCTACTACGTGCAAGCATAAACACACTACAGCTGGGCTATGAGGCTGGGGTGGAGGGAAGGATGGGACTGGCCCTCGTGGCCACAGTGCTGAAGAGGCTTAGATTAAATCAGCATAACTCAATCAGGAAATCATACCTGCGTGACCCTTTTTTCTGTTTTTGGTGCTTAAAAGTTTCCATGTAAGAATACTCAAGTTATTGATACTAGATTTGTTTAATCTTTCTGCCTGAAAGTACTACCTTAGTTTAAAATATTATAAACATGCAGAAATACTCAATTTAGGCAATTTCTAGGAATGTAAATTGCATGATTGATTGTTCCAATCTCAAAGCTAGCAATTAGTGAATGTTGTAATGAAGCTAGATAATAATAAAAAATTTAATTTAGGCCAAGTGTGATATCAATTTCTGAAGTGTCTTGGTGAAAATATATGGGACCATTCATTGCAAAAGAAATGTTTTTAAGCAATAACTGTTAAAACACAGGGCGTATCATGAAAATTAATTACTTGCTTCAGGATGGTGATGTTCCCTGCATTTGCTTTGATCTGTAAATGCAAACCAGTATTTCATAGCCCAGAAATGACCAATATTAGAGTGGCTGCTGTTACAGCACCCTTAAAAATGTGCAAGGGTTTAAAAAAAAAATAAATCAAGAAAGGAAACAGAGACCAGTTTTATTAAATGCCAGACTGATGAAGTTTACACCTGAACCAATCAAACAGGATTTTTTTAAACGAGTCAGTAATTATACTGCACTTTCTTCTTTTAATTCCATACACAGAGATTTTAAATGGAAAAAAATTTAAAAAATCTCTTCAGTGCAAAAGCTGTTGCTATTTTCAACTGTTGGAAAAATCTTAGCAATTCACCATTCCTAGAAAATCCATTGATTTCTTAAAAACTTGCTAGTTTTTAATGCTTAGTGCTGTGAGATTACCAGCAATGTTCTCATAAGGTAAGGGGGAGGAACTAATTGAAATATGAAGAACATATTTCAATTATTTTAATGTGGAATACAGCTCTTTCCTATTAAAAATTAATTATTAAGGATGTTCAAGACAGAAATACATGGTAGCAGATGCCTTATTCTACCACTTGTATTCAGCATTAGAAGAAACTAATAGGATTGTTTATAAAAATGCTTACTAGAAAAATACGCTTTCAGCTGAGTATCTTAGGACTTCATTGACAAATCCAGTACAGGCATACTAGATTCGTAATGCACTCATTAGGAGCACAATTGCTGTAGGAAAATTATTATAGAGACTGAAGCTGTTCATTATTCATAGTTGATGTCTTATTTATTAAGGTGTCCCTCTTGTCTGTTAACATGGTTTTTAGCTATTGAATGCAGCTGTTCTAAAAGGCTGATCCTATTTGGCCATTAAAAATCAAATGCAATTAACCATGTGCCAAATCCAGTTGCAGAAAGCAGTTCTTTCCAAGATGTGTTGAGGAAGCTTACATACTGGCAAAAACATTTTATGTGGTAGTGGTCAAATGCACAAAGAGGCACAAGAGAGGATCCGGATCTCCACCCATGAAGACGCTGAAAACTCAGTTCAGCAAGGCCTTGAGCAACTGTCATAACTTTAAAGTTGGCCCTACTTTGAGCACAGAGTTAGACCAGATGACTTCCATAAGTCCTTGCTAACCTAAATGCTCACATGATTCACACATGGTGTCTGGGTCACCAGAAACTAACATAGATGAGAGGCTGTAGATGTTTTTCAAATTCATTGGGCTGGTTTTCGATGTGCTAATATGGCCATGAAGCTGGCATTATGATATCCTAATGATTACCACTATGCTGGAAATTTTCTGCAAGCACTTGCTGACGTAATGTACTGCTGTGGAATATATTAGCTTTCTTGTGGTTTCTAAAAGAAGTGACCCGTTAACCAGGGTATTAAATGTTACTGCTTATTTTGCATTGTGCCATTTTCTGCTTCTGTGCAATTCAGTGTAGCTGAGAGTTGGGATCTGTGACAGTATTTCTGCATTATGCTTAAATAAAAGCACTACAGCAAAGTGCTTTGCAAATATAAATTAATCTGACTTCAAACTGTTCTGAGTTTTAATTTCTCAGATGGGAAAGCTTGGTGCCAGAAGGATTGAATTGTTCCAATTCGTAGGTGGGTTTTATTGTTAGCACTTTTAGTGGACCTGAAAATTTCTTGTCCTTGTCACCTTACTAAATTGGTATGTCTCTAAACCCAGATTTGTTTGAGGATAAATTGTTCTTATCAAGTCAAAGTTTACTAAGAGACAAATTCCATCACTTGTACAATTCCACTGAAGTCCTGGAAACGGGACATTTGTAATTGAGATCTTAATGTGGCTATTGGAAAAGTACATGGGAAGATGTATCTGTGAGAATCATTATGTATGAATGCTACATGTGATGCTGTGGGGACAAGGTATTCCTAACAAATTATTCTTCATTAGTACAATGGATGCATTTCTGGTGTTATTGTCTAGCGAGCCAGAGGAAGAAACTTCCAGGCTTTGTGACCTTCTCCAGCTTTGCCTTTATCTCGCAATATGCCAATATGTATTTCTGTCTCATCTTTGTTTCTGAAAAATAATGCTGCACTTTTCCCTCTACTACAGTCATTAGATTTCGTAGCATTAAAATAGCATATTTATCAGACTTGTGTTCTCAGGTTCACCATTTGCACCCCAAAACAAACTTTGTTCCCATTTCAAATGTAATCAGTGATCATAAAAATAGCGTGGCCCTGAATAACTGCGCTGTGGAAATATGGTGGAAGGCAAGGTGGTGTTTCTGGAGGAGAACCTCACTTCGCTGATTGAGTTTTATAGAAGGAAGGGTCTGGAGCCTATGGTGCTGCTCCCTCATGTGGCCACCCGTCACAGCAGCCCAGCAGTGAGCCCAAACCTGATGGATCCAAACTCCACCAAACTGCTCAACAAACATGGGCAGCCCCAAGGAATTTCACGACTTCCACTTTTTTTTTTGGGGGGGGAAAAAAAGTATAGAGCTGATATTGCCGTTTTGGAAATTTTCCAAAAAGATGGGTTAGGTTTTCTCTTTTTATACAAATCTTCAGTAAAATGTGGACTTTAAAGGTTAAAAGCAGAGTAAAAACTCAGGAAAGTAACCAAAACTCTGATGTACTTTTGAGAGATACCAAGGCAAAACGTTTTCCTTATTTTTATTACCAGTGTTCAATGAAATGTACTTTTTTTTCCCTTTTTGCCTTGATTACATTTTTATACTTTTCCATGACATGGGAAAAATGTTTCCTGACTCTGTTAGCTGGTGAATGCTGGAGTACCTAATAGCATCTTAACGACTGTAAAATAATCACTTTTTTTTTAGCCATAGATTCAGCGTTTGGAAGGCTTATTTCTGAGCTATAAATAAAAGAGGATGGAAATACACAATCAGCTTTTAGAAGCAGTGAACAGCCATATTTTTGGCCCATTTGAATCAGTATACCTCTGCAGTTTTTATGCCAGCTGAGTACATGGTCAGACTTGTGCATAGTCATGCTGAGTTAATCTTTTAAGAGCTCACCTGCAGAATCAGTTTTCAGAATGAAGGTCATTTTGTGTATATCCTTTAGTTTTCTAAAAAGAAGAAACTAAATTTAACATCTTAAAAATCCAATTAAAGTGGAAACTAATTATTAAATTTTATTAATGTATGAATATATATTTACTGAAAGGCAAGATGTCTCTAGCCTTTAAATTTTGTTAGTATTTGAAGTAGTGTAGAAGGAACATTCCTGCTTCTAAAATTCTTGCTCTTTGTGCAGAAATAAATTAGCAGTATGAATTTCATGTTTTTGTACAGAAAGGATGCCAGTATTTCCCTTTGACATTTCACTTCAGAGTAAAGTCAAATGTCGCTGGTGAAGCCCTGCTACATACAACAGTCTTTCAAATAAATTGTTGATTGCGTGATCAGATTAAATTGTCTATTTACTCTATTTTAAGGACTGATGTGTGTGTATATACATATATGCGTGTGTGTGTATCTATTGATGTAGGAGGACCACTGACCTTAATGGGTAAAGCTCCAATGCATTTTGATCTATTAATCCAGGTTAGACTGATTGATTATTTCAGGCCTGTACTTTATACTCTTATGATGAGCTTACTTCATTTTAATACTACATTATCTTGAACATCAGCTGTGGTTATAAAATGAGATTAGCTGACTCTAAAATGAGAGTGGATTAAAAAAATGAAATGGCATTCCTTAATAATAAATTGTGCCTGCTGCTGTACTCCTCAAATGAAACAAGTAGTTGTGAAAGAGCAAACAGACTGAAAATAATGATTCTGTCATCCCTTAGTGAATAGAGATCTTTCCTTCACTTTCTCTGAAAGGAGATACTTGTGTCCACGCGCATCTGTGTGTGCTCTGGGGAACTGACGTGTCTTCACCTGAGTTTGTACAGATTCTGAGAATCAGGTTTGAGGTGTCGAAGTTGTTCAGTCATAGCACAGGTGACAGCAGAGCAGTGACTCTCAGCCTGGCCTGCTTCTGCAGCTGTAGTGATGAATTATCAGTGTGCTTTTTTTTTTTTTTTTTTTTATTTTGTTTTGGTTTTTTTTTTTTTTTTTTTTTTTTTCTCTCTGAGAAGAGGCATCTTCTGTCATATTCTGTGATATTGAATAGGTAGATGTGTTTGTGCATGTCTCTCCCTTTCAGTCTCTCCCCAGAAAACTTTTGAAGATATGAGGTAGCTTTAATTCTCTCTGGAAGAGATATAGAGAGACCCTACAGCTTGATTGGTGTTATAAAAATTAAGACTTTATTGGAGACCAGAGATTTCATCAGCAGCATTGCAGAGAGATCAGCAGCCTTAGATCAAACCTTCTGAGTCATCAGAGAAGCTGTGTGAGCATTTGCTTTCAAAGTACATTGTGGAAACAGATTATATTTGAGTTACTCGTCTCTAGACAGAGACATTTTTTCCATTTAGGCTACAAAAGTGGCTTTAAATACTATGTTTTTAACAGCAAACGTCAGTTTGCAATTTCCACTGTTCCATTTCCTTGTCATGATTGCAGTCATCTATAGTTACAATAGCTTATCTTAAAATAACACTGATGTAAAGCATCCAGTGCATTTCACAGTCGTCCTGTATGTAACTGGATTAGTGGAACGAAGGATGGAGACAAGGTCAGAATGCTAGCATTTTTCCTCCTTTTGAAGTCAATGAGGTTTTTAAAATTTTACTTCATTAAAAAATATATTGCCTTCTTCCAAGTCTCTTGGAATAATCCAACTTTTATGCTGAGATTGAGCACTTGGACTGTAATTTTGCTGTCTTTGTGCAAAAGTGAAGTATGGAGAGGTACTCTTTCAGGTGTAGCAAATTCCTTAGTTTTTTCTCTTCAGTGCTGGATGCAGACCTGACTAACATGCTAATCCATAATCTCATTACTTCAGGGAGGGCAGCGTCTGTGACTTTGGAGCATTTCCAGTCACTTTGAAGCCTCAACATCAAGCATTCATCAGAAGATGAAACCCATGCACCATATACTTTATTCCTCATGAAGGGTGTTCCAAATTATACCTTTTACTTTTAAGTGGCTTTTTCTTGCTCTTTGCAGTCCTCCCATTTTTCTCAGGATCTTGGTAACTGATGAAAAAAATTTCTACAGATGAAAAGATCAAGAGGAAACATAGCCTTTACTTTCAAGGGAATTGTGTTGATGGTTTGTGTGAGTTGAAGTTATGTTGTTTGATATATATATATATTTTTTTTTTGTTAACTTGATACTTATTAATGCTGGTCCTCTTTTAGAAAGCAGGTGATGAAGTGGACATAATACTGCTGGGCAACAAGTGTGATAAGGAATCAGAACGTGTAGTTCCAAAACATAAAGGAGAAAAGGTACCATTAATCACTGATGCTTTCTTTGGGTTCTCCTGAGTGTGTGTGACTATGAGCTGTTCACCTGACAATGAAAAAAGGCTCCTGAATTCCAAAAATTCTGTTAGGAATTGCTCCAAAAGAACAGTGGTTTTGTTTGTTTGTTTTTAGCATATAAACAGAAATACATTAAATAATGCCTGGCTGCTCTCTTCAGAGTACTGATTTTTATTTTGAAAGTTAAAATGATCTTAAATAGTTTCAGGCATTATAATTATTTTTCAAATTATAATTTGAAGTATTTTAAAATCTGCATTTTCAGAGCAATGTTCTAGTATGAAGTGCTAGCATATAATACATGGCACTTTTTGCATCACTTCATGATACCTGATGGCACTCATCAATGGCTTTTTTTTTTTTTTTTTTTTTTGCAATAGCCTAACCATATAGAACTATTGTGGCAGCTTGCACATTGTGATCTTAATTATCTATAAGTAATCCTGAAGAACACTGGACATGTACATTTTGGGGACATTCAGGTCCTCTAGTTGAAACCATAGGTTACGCAGCTGAGGCTACAGTATAAATTAGACTATAGAAGAAGAACTAGTGTTAAGTGAGGAGTACTGTTTTAAAGGCAAATATTACCATCACTGAAAACCTGAGGAGATCCAGGAGCCGTTCAATGGAAGAAGAAATTGTGATACTGATTAAATGTTACAATTGACATTTAGATTGTGTAGACTGTGTGTGTGGTGCTCCGGAAACAATGCCTCCTATATTACTATACTGGGCCATAATGCCAGAGGCAGATGTTGGTGGTATGGCAGTAGAGGTTGTCTTCTCGCCAGTATTCCATTATGTTTTGTTGCTATGATGGCTGATGGCAGCAGAGGGGCAGTGTGACAGAATGGTGTTTGGCAAGGGAGTGTTTATGAAGCAAAGGTTGAATTCCTCCACGTAGAGAAAAATGGCACTCATTGGCCTTCATCGGCAGTTGCTGAATGTTTACAGAGCCCAAACAGTGGATGTGAGCACAGTGAAGGTGATGTGGGTGATGCATTTTGGCAGCAGTGACAGCAGTGTGAAAGATAAGCCATGTTCAGGATGGGCATGCAGATTTTTAGTGTGTGGCATGCAGGCTGGTTTTCATCACTCAAAAAAAAGCGCAACTAAGCATGGTACCTCTTTTGAAAAACAGGAAAAATAATCTTGGAATGAGCCCTTCAAGTATGCAGTCAGATAGTTGAGTCAGGCACATTATACTGTGTTTGAGGATTAGCATGCTGATCATTTCTTTCTGATTATATAAGTACAGATTAGGAAAATTTTAGAAGTAGCATAAAGTGTAATGTGTATGTGTACATGGAAAAAGGTTGCTGAAAGATACAGGTATAGTTTCACTCAAAGGATACACTATCAGAAATCTGAATACTCACTGGACACGTGTGCACAAGAGGGCAGTATTAGGGTTTTGCATGTGGTATTAACAGTGACATTTGATGCATCCTTAATCACAATCAAAGCTTCTCTTTATGTAGTCGTCTTTTTTTTATTTTATTTTTTGAGGAACAAGTCTTCACCTCTTTACCAATGAGTCTGCCTTCTAGATTTCTTCTGTGTTCTGAGACAACTCCTCAGTTACACTGTTTTGTTCTTTAATGTGATTTTGAAATGCCAAAGAATCTTACTGAGACGGCTGGAGAAAGATTGCATTAGCAGAGAGTGAGCTAATAATCTCGTAATCTCACTTCGAAGATGAAAATATCCATATTAAAAAGAAAAATGGTTTGCAGCAAACTCTGCCACATAATAATTCATTCCATGGTACCCTGTGAATATAAGCTGTGAGTATTGTTCTGCTCAGAGTCTTGCAAGGAAGATCAAAGGATTTTCTGGGAATCTTACTGTGTATATTGGCATTTCTATAGTAATCTGTTGTAACTGAGCAGCCATGATATACCAGTATATAAACTAAAACAAAGAAATTACTAAAAAAAAAAAATTGTAATTGCATGATTTTGATTGCTCATTTTAACTCTGCAAGGGATTTTTTTGTATTAATAATTTGAAATGTTTGAACTCAGCCTTTATGAGCTCCTCCGCTCCTCTCTCCCCAAATCAATATATAAATGTATTACTTACTGAAAAATAAGTATAAATATTGAAGATTATATGACATTTTAGAATGTGTCCATTTTCCTCTTGTCACATCTTTCTAACAGAAATAGTCAAATAAAATGTTGGCTTTTGTTCGTTTTCCTTTTCTCATCTTCGCATGCTTGACTTTACAACTTAGATTACGTCTACAATATGACTGAAAAAGCACTCCACAGTGATACAGTGCTAGGAATGTTCCAGTTACATCTCTCTGATTCTACACTAAGGAACCATAGCAGGATTTTTAGGAAGTAGTATATTTTGAGATAAAAACATTAGAATAAAACTGTGCTTTGGAAAAGATTATGGCGTTATTTATTTTCTTATTGTAAGTAAGATATAATCTTATTTCATGTGAGCTCTCCAACAGTTCTTCAAGGATGACATAAAATTTCCAAGTAGCATTATTGCCTTCAGTTTGTACGTGTATGTATTTTATTTACAGGTATACACAACACACAGGTTCCCAAAGGCAAGAAAAAATATTCTTTGAATGTGCCTTTCCAGTTTCTTTGAGGTGAATTAGATAAAGCTGTGCTCATACTTACAACTGCATTAACACTGATTTTATTATTTTTTTTATCTATTCAAACTTGGAGATAACTTGCTTGCCACAGTATTTACCAGTCTGCAAAGTGAATTTAATAGTACGTATATTAATACATATATTTCTGGAGCTTTCCTCATTGGAGATACTCAAAAGCTGCCTGGACATGGTCCTGGGCAACGTGCTTTGGGTGTCCCAGCTTGAGCAGGGGTTGAGTCAGGTGGACACACAGGTTCTTGTCAACTAGTCCATGATTCTGTGATTAATATTCTTTGTCCAACATCGTGCACAGATGGAGAAAATAGGAGTGCATTGATAGATGTATTTGACAACCTCAGAAGGCTCATGTACTTAATGTTATTTTTTTCTTTTGTGTTGGTCTTTACATTGGACCTTCTTCCCAGACTTCTCTGTGTACTGGTGGGGCTTAGAGAGGAAGCAGATCAGCCATCAGCAGGAGAGCACGGGGTTAGAAACTGCTTAGGAAAGTTGAGTTTGTCTACGGCATGATGAAGTTTACCCAACTGTGCTGAAGAAGCTGATAAATAAGATTGAGGCCTCTCAATCATTTCTGAACAATCATGATGCTTGTTAACTAAACAAATGCTAGTATGACATATATGTTTGAAACAGAAGGGAAAGAAGGAGGGTTCGCAGAACTACGGTCAGTCAGCCTTCAATCCATGAGAAGGATTGTGTCATCAAATCCTTTTCCATCCATTTAAAGGACAAAAAGATGATTTGGCAGAAACAACAGAGGGTAAATTTTGCGTTGCCAGCTGATTGCCTTTTATAAGACCAGAAAATGTGTGTGAACAGAGGAATAATGGTGGTTTGTAATATATTTTGAATTTTGGCTTTTGTCACTTTCACATGGCACTTGGAAGCCAGGAAATGTGAGCAGGACAAATGGGCCACGAGATGGAATGAAAATTGGCTGGACTACTTGATGTAATGGGTAGCAATTTAAGGTCATGTGTCTAGTTGGTGGCTAGTAAAGGACAGAGTACAGCAGAGGTCTATGGTAGGACCCAGATTATTCAACATCAGTGACCTGATGATAGAACACGATGTTCACTGCAGTCAACTTGAGTTTAGAAATAGTCTCTCTTAAGAAATGTATCAGGTAGCTTCTTCATTTTCAAAATTATATTTCATTATAGTATTTTGGAAAATAAACCATTTTGCTTGCTTTTTTCCTACCTTAATATCATTCTTACAATGTTTTAATTAAAATATTACACTCAAATTCTTGTACTTGCATATCTTATTTTTGAATTCTCGTAAAGTGCCAAGTTTATTTTTATTTTTTTTTTAAATTTTTTAGGTTATTTCTAAAGTTCATTGAAAGCAATCATAACTGGCAATTGTAGAATGGCTTAGGCTTGAAGAGACCTTAAAGACCATCTAATTCCAACCCCCTGCCATGTGCAGGGTTGCCATCCACCAGACCTGGGTGCCCAGGGCCCCCATCCAACCTAGCCTTAAATACCTCCAGGGATGGAGCATCCATGGCTTCTCTGGGCAAGTGATATTAGACTTTTTACCCTAATGAAGAGCCTTCCAAACAAATTAAGTGGTTAGTATACATTGTGAGCAGTAGGAGTGTTTTCCTTGATTGGGATTGCTTTCTCCAGATGTGTACCAAGAGGGTATTGCAAAGGCAGTAAATAGACACTCCCGTTATGGTTCTTCTGGTGGATATTCCTCCCACCTTGGTCTTCTCCCTTGGGAGGCAAGAGTCAGCTGTTTTTTCTCCATGTTTTTAACTGTATAAATTAAAATAAGTTCAAGACCTGGAAAAGCTGTGATTTTTGTAGAGTTTTTTTTTTATTCTTTATGCCAATGTACTACCTAACCAACTGTAAGAGAGGAACACTGGAATTGAGCGAAAACAAGCAAATTAAATAAAATTAGCCAATATAAAATCTATGCTGCCAATTTCCTCTAAGCATTTTCATTATTCACCTATTACCATAATATATTTTCACATGCACATCTGTTCTTTGCATGTTTGTTATCTCTGCCCTTTTCTCTCTATTTGGTGAAAAGTTGCATCTCTTTTTTTTTTATTCCATCATGCCCGCTTTTCTGTATCTTTTCTCAAATTTTTACCTGTCCTTTTCTGCAAGCATTCTGTTAATTTCCTGTAAATACTTGCCTAGGAAGTGATTCATTTTCTAAACAAATGAAGACCTTGAGAAAAGATCCAGTAGAGTGTATCCTTACTTGCAAGTAACAAGTTTCAAAGCGAGTAACTCATTTGGAAAATACATAAATTAAAAAAAAATATTTAAGACATATCTGAAATTTATAAACTGAAATAAATACAGTGTAATTTATTGAGCTGACATTTTCTTAGTCAACGTTTATTTTTAAGAACTGTCAGAAGCACCTACACATCTATTGCTACTAGTATTAACAATTTTTTTTTTCTATTTTTCTAAAGACTATTCATCCCATTGCCAACTTTTTTTTTTTTTTCCTCCAGCTTGCTTGGGAACACGGGATACCATTTTTTGAAACCAGTGCCAAAGATAACGTGAACATTGAGGATGCATTTTCAGTTTTGACTAAGGAAATACTGGAAAAGGTAGGATGAGAAAAAATTAAAAGGAAGATTTCAGGGGTGGAAGTACAGGATAGCTTTAGTGAAGAACAACTAGTGCTGGTCTTGCAGTGATATTTGGGAGGATCCTGTAGCTGTAGACATACGGGGAGAGACATACAGAGAAAGAATTGTAAGAGAACAGAGGAGAACAGGTACAATATTGCTCAAGGAGAAGATAAAAACTCAGGAAAGCTGCATTTGTGGCTTTTCTTTCCATACTTCATACTAAGGGGTTACAGGATAATTCCATTTCTGTGCCAGCATAATTCCCTTTTTTCTTTAAGTTTTGTCAGAATGTGTGCACTGTTATGAGGCAACATATTCATGAAAGGAGTGGACATTTTATCTTCAACAATTAAATGTTTCATCCAGAAATCATAGCTGTTTGTTTGGTTGATTTACACTAATGCTTTTGAAGTTACTAGAATCTAAAGAGCTGAGTTAATTAGTAGTAGAATCAATACTGTAGCTGTCGCAATCAGCATCTTTAACTACCTAGTTTGTGTTGGTGAAAAAGGTCCTTGCTACTCAGGGTTTCCGTACAAAAAATCTTGTGTGGGACTGAATTACTGTTAATTAGCTATGAAAATGTTTTGCATCACAATTTATTTTTAGACAGTAGAATATTATTTTAGACATTAATGGATGTTCTTCATGCAGTGCATTATCACTGCCATTCATCACCAATATCTGTTATACAAAACTAGCCTTCCATTCTGAATACTCTTGAAGTCATAATAAAGATAAACGAGCAAAATTACTGACAAAGTCACAACTTGCAGTGTTTTCATTAAATAGCCATAGGGGATGGTCAGGATAGTAGCTGCGGGCTGGACTGCTTCTAAATGAGGGTCTTATTCTATCATACAATAACACAAACTTTAGTTTATTGGGTTGTTGTGTTTTGTTTTTGATATATATGATTTTGGTTCCCTTGGCATGAAAATAAACTTGGCAACTTAACTGCCAAATGTTATTTAGATGATGAGGACAATGACAAGTCTTTGAATAGCTGGAAAAAAAATAAAAAATAAGATAACTCTGAGTTTTCTTGTAAATTAAAAAGATATTTTCTACTGTAAATAAATAATATATTTGTAGTATGAAGCATGAAAACTACAAACCAAAAGCTATGATCATAGCTGCTGCAAAGACAAATATCTGTGAAGCTATAATCTCTGCACAGTGCATTTAGTAAGATCTGAGAGAATTGTCTGAAGCATTCAGAAATGGTGTTTGGGCATTTCTCACTCCAAGATTGCTTGCATTCATTTTACTTTAAGTGGAGCGTTAGTATTCCTACTAATCTTCATGAAAATCAATAGGGTTTTAGTGTGGCCATGCAAACAAATTTAGACCATTATACTCCAGCATGGAGTATAATTATTAGAACTGCTTGATAATGCAGTCGTACAGTCTACATGCATGCATTTGTGTTTGGAAAATACGTCCTTGGGAATTTTTGTCTGCAGTAATATTTCACTCCAGAAATATTTGCAATCCATATTGGGGCCTCATTTATGATTACTTTGGTGTATAATTTGCAACTGTTTGTGAAAGGAATGTGTTGATTTAAACAAGAAATTCTTTAGCCCAGTTGGTTCTGCCACTGGCCTGAGAAGGAGTTCAGAGAAAAAAAGAAAAATCCATCATACAGTTTCATCATGGTTATCAGGTTCAACAAAATAATTTGCTTGTTCATAAAACTGTGAAATCTGAATATACCACTTAAATTTTAACTTCCTGTAACTGATGAAATTGTGAAGAAGAAAAAATGTGGTAGGAAGTGTGACTAGTAACTGTGAAAAAATGACACGACAGATGCTAGTCTAGATCACTTCAGTCACACATTCACTCTGCACTAGTCAGATATGTTCATACAGCGTTACACAGCGCTTTGGCACAAGACAGCCCCCGAGCCTGGGGGTGTTCAAGGAAAGGCTGGATGTTGTGTTGAGGGACATGGTTTAGTAGGAGCTATTGGGAATAGGTGAACGGTTGGACTGGGTGATCTTGAAGGTCTTTCCAACCTTGGTGATTCTATGATTCTATGACAGTTATGTCTTTGGTAGCAGGATACTGTATCTCATTTACTTCTGCAGTAGGATCATCTATTCTAGGCTAATGAGATGCTTCAGTGGTGCAAGCTTGTCATTGCTTTACTAGTCCCATAGAGGAAACTTGTTTTAAAGAATTTCTTGGAAATTCAGTGCGGCCTTGCTTTTTGGAGGTAGGTTGAAGTCACTGAGAAGATAGGCAGACAGGCAAGCTGGCAGACAGTAAACCATTTTCAGATGCATTGTATCTACATTAATCTCAGGACATTCTGGATTTTTTATATGCAGCCTTGTTTGCTATCTACCATGGGCATTTTTTTAACTACTTTTAATAGCAAACGTGTAGATGGGGAAAATCAGCATCTGGAGTTATAGAGGTCATACTGAAATAGTGAGTTTCTTGATTCCTTTGAGATTTAGAACAAGTTGTGGTTCAAATGAGTATTCCCTATTGGAACTAAAAGGTAGATTTGTTTTATCATCATTTTGTGCCCTTTTTCTATTTGTAGAATAGATTTAAATCAGTAGAGCATGTTACTTTTATAAGACACTGCTATCTCTACTTTTGAGGCTTTACTTTTATTGGGCTTAAGAGAGGAAGATTACTTCTGTATCTCAGTGATTCAGATAACTGAAGCACTATTTAATTTTTCAGATATTTATAGTCTGTGAAAACCATTCTCTGATGAGCCTCAATGCCACAGCTCTAAATTGCATGGGTAGCCTCATTAAAACAATCAGATGTTATTTGAGAACTTACACTGGTAACAGCTGTGGAGTTATACCAGATTTTGAGAATAGTTAGCTCAGTTTTCAATCATAACAGCTACTAATAACTGTTTTTTTATCTTATTGGAAGTGCTGTAGTGGAAATGAATGTTAATGGCACTTAAAGCCTTTCCTAGAGGTTTTCTTAGACCTGTTGACAAATAACATTTTAATTCATAATTCTTACGAGTCTCAGAGAGGCCTAAACTTGCTTATTAATTGATGACAGCTGTTCCTTAGCAGTGTTTCTTGTTGCCAGTGAACTATTTGTACCTGTGATTCAGTCCTCAAAAAAAACAACCAAACCCCCCAAATTACCACTAAGAATGCAGTTACTATTTGCAGTTTAGTGTGGTTTGGCTTCATGGCTGACAAGCAGTATTCTTCTCAATCAGCTTTTTAAAAAGTCTTGCAAGCCTTTGTATTTCTCTTTGTGGGTGCAGTGGCTGGTATTTTTCTAAACTGGGAGCAGAAGGATGGAAACTATAGTCAACAAAAGGAAAAAAACCAAAACAACCAACTGAAGTTCTTGCTCTCTTCTGAAGACAGCTATAAAACTAACCAAACCTTAAATTCTGTCTACCTCCCAAGAGTGATCAACTGCTAAGATTATTTTAATATTATATTAAATAAATACAGATCTTCAGAGTAGAGTCAAAATTCATTTAAGAACTTTCCAGTACTGTTTAGGTTAACATTTAAAGTTTAACAGTTGGATGTAATTTGAGATGAAATGAAAATAGCAGACCTCAGTTCTGTTTTTCCTTGATCTCTTTAACTTCCCTTCCAAGGCAACAAGATTTTTGAGATAACACAGTATGTCCCAGAATACTCTGCAGATAGAAAGTCTCCAGCATTAGTTCATACTACATTAGACAGAGATAACTACACAGAGACAGAAAATTGCTTCAACCAGCCACTCCAGCTGGAGCTTGCAGCGCAGATACCAAATTTAATGCACTGCAAGACACAAATCCATAGGAAATCAGTATTCATTATTGCCATGGTTCTGGGAATTGTAGTTTGTCCAAAAGATCCCTATCTTAAGCAGTGCGCATTCAGTATTTGTTTATTATCCTTAGTCATGTATGAAGCCCCTGGCTTTATTTGTCCTTTACTTATCTTGTACTGACCACAGAATATTAATTCTTCATAAGGTTTTTCATAATGCTCATAATGCTGTATTTTAGATCTGTTTTAGATTTTTAGCTTCGTAACCTTCCTATTAACACTAAGTAGTACGTTCAGCATTGCACACATGGGAACTGTGGAACAGACATTAAAGCAAAAAGGATAAGTGGTACCAACTCACATAGAGTTGCAACAATGTAGGGCCTAATTTTACTATACAATCTTGTTTAATTCAAAAAAATCTGTTCTGAACATTGAATAGGCCAGACATTGTTCTGGAAACAGTAACATACAATTAGGCCATGTAAATCAAAAGTAAATCATAATGTTTGAGTATGCAGGATGAGATTCTTCTTAGTGTGCAACCTTAGCCAGCAAAAATGACTAGGCTGATGTAGTTGCCTGGAACCACCTACAGTCAATGGAAAGAAACATGTCAGATGATACTCTGTTCTGGAGGTGCCTTTCTCTCTCCACTGATAATAGAGGACTGTATAGCAGCCTTTCTGGTTTTACAAAAGTTAAATAAGTTCAAGACCAAACTAAGTGAACACAGTTGACTTGCTTCTGGCATTGACTGACTCTGAAAGAATCATAGCATGGCCTGGGTTGAGAAGGACCTCAAAGATCGTCTAGTTTCAATCCCCCTGCTATGTGCAGGGTTGCCAGCCACCAGAGCAGGCTGCCCAGATCCACATCCAGCCTGGCCTTGAATGCCTCCAGGGATGGGGCATCCACATCCTCTGTGGGCAACCTGTTTCTGTGCATCACCACCCTCTGTGTGAAAAGCTTCCTCCTAATATCTAAACTAAACCTCCCTTGTCTCAGTTTAAAAACATTCCCCTTGTCCTATCAATATCCACCCTCGTAAACAGCCGTTCTCCCCCCTGTGTATGTGCTCCCTTCAAGTACTAGAAGGCTGCAATGAGGTCTCCCCAGAGCCTTCTCTTCTTTAAGCTAAGCAAGCCCAGCTCTTTCAACCTTGACTTTGATCCTGACTTTAATCAAATGATCAGTAGTGTTGGAGTTTTTTAAAGCATAGTTTTTTTCTTAAGTTTGTAGAAAAACTGCAGTACAATGTTGTCATAGTCACATGTTATTAACAGGAGAGGGAGATAGAGACCCGTGCTTTGTTAGTGGGTTAGATGTCTTAAACATTGTGGAATAGCAGGTTTTGGGAACAAAGACTTCCATTCCTATCTATTGAAGAAGGTGTTTTGCAGCAGTGTTGTCTTCTCTTAATCCTCTCCTACTCCTATCACTGCCCCAGAAGTTATCACCTTCCCTGCTAACAATCTGATACTGCTTGTGCCTTGTTGGGAAAGGACTGGCTTGTATTTTGAACAATTTCAAGCCTAGTATTACAGAATACAGAGAAAGTAGGACGCAAGGAAATTGTAGGAGTGATCTTAATAATTGAGCTGTTGTCTTCTGGCGGTGCAGGTGCGGAAGTCCCTTGATATTCATCACACAAGGTCCTCTGCCAGCTGAACTTTGTCAACCATCACTATTAAATATAAACAGAAAGACTGCAGTCATTAACCACAATAATTTTGTATTTAGAGAGGATACATTCCCCAGAGTTTAGAGAAGTTATAAGAAGTAGTAGCTTCAGTTACAGTCTCTTCTGGTTATTTCTCTAAAACCGGTAGCTTTCCAGCAGGCACTCTGGGTTTGCCTCCACTCTGGGTGGGGCATTTAAATGTATAGAGAAAAATTCTACCAAACCAGTGGTGAACTGTGTCTCCAAAATATATAAAAATACTGAGAACTGGTGCCACAGTAGGTAAATCCAGCTTGGCTTAATACTGCTAATCTGAAAAGATTTCCAGCAAGGACCAGGCTGCTGATCTTAATTGAGCTGTATGAATTTATTACGTTAGAAACCATTCAAAGAACTTCCCTTATTTTCTGATTCTATTTCTCTTTGTATACAAACTTAGCTTTATTCACCTGGTTAAAAAATAATAATTAGAGGGATACCAGTCATCACAGTCTATCTACAAGTTGGGTATCTATTGTAAGATAGTGACACAACTTCTGCCTTAGAGCTGGTGATGAGACCAGATGGCTGTGGGGAGTAGCTGATCCTATCTGATTTTCTCCACTGATTCTGCAGGGAGCTTAGAATGCTTAAACAGATGCCTGTCTATTTGGTGAGACAGTCTGCTGTGCTGAACTAGTATTTTAGCAGTAGATTGCAATGTCTTACTAGAATCACTACTGGGTAGAATAGCATCTATTTCTTCAGCTTTATTTTCAAGATTTCACTTTGTCCATGATGCTGAAGTGAAAAATTGAGCTTCATACCACTTTGGTTCCTTTCACCTTTCTGCTGTTTTGTTTGTTGGATGCCTTGCAAGGGAAGAGTTTCTTAGACTGAGCTGAAATGTGAGCTAGGAGAGAGCCCTGAGCGTGGAATGTTGCCTGCCTTGTTCTCTGAGATGGGCAAAATTTGCATACTTCCCCTCTTTAATTTCATGTGAGGAAAGTGCTGCAGCTCTTCAGGGCTCCTTCACAGCACTATGTGGGATTGCACTCATTGCTTCAGCTCTTCATGCAGGACTCGTAGCATCTCTTCAGGTTGTGATTATGCACTTAAATGTGTGCAAAGCACATCTGCTTAAATGAATCCCAAGCCCTTATCTGCCTGATGAAGAACCTGTACGAAAGGCTAATCAAACTGAAGTGATATTTTAAGTCTTCAACATTTACGTGCCTATTAAAACAAACGATTACCTATTCTTTATTTGTGGAGAGATAGTTCTTGTCTTTCTGTCCCAGGTAATTTGTTGTTAAGTACTAGCAGGTAATGATTTTACAGACAGTATGAACAACTTTGTTGTCAAGTAGGTTTTGCCGTTATTAATCACCTATAGTGCTAAGGATCCTTGCTGTATCTATACAGGAGTGGTTTACTGGCTGCCTAAAAGCACTATTCTGCAGTAAAATATTTGCAAATAAAAATCATAAGCATTCAAGGAATACACAACTTATTGTCCTTTAACTGAAAGCATTAAATGAAAACATTCAAGGCTAGACTGGATGAGGCTTTGAGCAACCTGATCTACAGGGAGGTAGCCCTGCTTATAGCAGGGGGTTGGAACTAGATGATCTTAGAGGTCCCTTCCAACTCAAATCGTTCTATGATTCTTTGAAATTACTTATAACCTGTAACACTTTAAAATTGTCTCTTTCCTTTAAAGTTAAATAAATTCATCATGAATTCAGAAATTGTTTCAGAATTTTTTCTATATTTTTCTGTAACACTCTTACTACTTGAACTGATATTTTTTTTCTTAAGAAAAAGCAGATGTGAAATGCAAGCTCCTCAGCTTATGTCTGCGGTAATCAGCGCTCAGTATTGCTTCTTGGTCTCAACAAAAGTGCATTCTGAATTTCTTTTTGCACCATTATCTTCCGGATTTTTTTTTCCTCAGTGTCTTATCTCTGAACCAGAGTGACGTCACGTTCTTGAAGTGACAAAGGGTTATGTTTGGTTTGATTTTTTTGGAAAGGATATCATGCTTTGTATTTACAGTCACTGCTCAAAGACCATAAAATACTGTCTCCATGTAGCACAAGTTCTAATGGCAGCTACTTGTATTCAAGCGTCTTACAAAGCAGGAAAAAAATGATTTCATGCATCTTCTCCAGAATTTTAGGTCGTGTGAAGAACTGAAGGGGCATAAGACTTACTTTAACATTAGAAAACATTTATTTTCCCCGCATTTAGATTCATCTAAGTAATTTTAGCTGAACCTTTCTGAATATAGTCAGATAATTCTGTGATTCTGTGATTCTGTGTAATTACTGGATTTTAAATAATGACTAGCATTGGACTACATTATGCCACTTTCTTCTTCCCCCCTTTTTTCCCTGCATTTTGGATATCGCAGATTCCAGCTGGGACAGCTGTCCTTTCTGGAAGCTTCTCTGTATTGTGAGAAGTGGTAGTTTATGACTGTTGGGTTTGGGTTGAGAGAGGAATGTGGTGATTCCAGTGGTTGCACTCACTTTTCTGTATATCACTGCATACTTGGTTAACCTACCAAGAGGGATACACAAGAATGGCAAGTAGAGTTCAGACTTTTTTTTTTTCCAAGGCGGGGGACAATGAATCTTTATGTCATTGTGTTTGAGTTCAGGTTTCGATGTTCATATTTTTAGAGTTCAAAGATGCAACATTTACTAGCACTGTATTGCACAACTGGTTTTGATTATTTCTCTGGTCAGCAGCAGTAATTATCTAGTTGTGTTTATTGCCGAAAGGAAGAGTTCTGGTTTTGCTGATTTTAGTTTTTAAATCTGCTTTTGCAATCTGCAAATAAATGTTTTACCAGGACAGAGAGCTGCTATGATAATTCTATTGTGATAAAGACTGAGTTGCTTCCATTTGAGACTATTTATGTTTGTGTTTTTTTGTGTTTTTTTTTTTTTTTTTTGTAATGGATTTAAGAAAATACAGCAACTGTAGTGAATTTCACAAAATGCAATATATTTTTTATCAAGTAATAGTTTATGCCTTTTTCTAATGGGTACTCTTGACCTGTATTTCTCTATTTATTTCAACTAGATCTTTGCATCTCATGCCTAATACTTCAAAGATTAAGGTAATTAATAACAAATCTGTGAAAATTAGTTCAGTCAACAGAAGAACTGGTATATCTTGACCAATTCATATAAGTATTTACATGATGGTTTCTAGTGTCTCCTCAGAAGACATTACATCCTCTGCCACCTTCAGAGTTAGAAGAGATGTTTGAGGCACCTGTAGAATGTAAATACACCAAGCTGTAACTTGTGGGAGCATCAGTCTCCCTTTAATTTATTAGAAAACTCTAATCTCTTATTTAAATATGTAAAGGGAAAGTGTATCTAGTGGCTTCATCAGGTCTTTTACATATTAAAATATGTGAAAATTCAAGTTTTTCAACTACTGCTTTCCAGTTATCTTAATTAAATGTTTGCTTTTATTTGTTTTACAGAAGTCCTGGGTATTATATGACTTAGATGTTGTGGATCTAAATGAAAGTAAGAAGAGAACCTGCTGTGCATTCTGAAATATTGTTTATTATTTCATTTCCTCTTCAGAGAATATTAACTATTACAAGGGAACATAAAAAAAAAATTAAAAGGGAGTCTGTAATCCCAAAGCACAGAATTTAGGCATCCTTTTTATTACAGAAATGTTGCTGGCAAATATTTTGACATGTTTATATTTTTTTATTTTTAATGTGAATTTAAAACAATCATCTGATGTTTGAATCATTTGCATACAAATGGTTGCACAGGTGAAATCTAAATGTACTATTTTTCTCGTATTAAAAACATGTACTTTAACATTTTTTGTGCTATTTGTATTAGATTTTTAATTTTCATGAACATTGGCATCACACAGGCAACCTTTCAATACATGAAATCATTTACACTGTCCACGAGATAACATATGTTTAATCAGCTTATGCTCAGTGTAGTCCTGTAAGATGATTTTCTGCAGATTTTTGGTTTTGTTTCTTTGATATCCATTTCAGAAATGTATGTCTTACTGGAAAACTTTTGAACAGGGAAGTTGCAGAGATGATGGCTGAGATAGAAGAATATACCATACACCACAGTATCTGTGGGTTGCTGAGCCTCCCTTAGAAAGTAGAAAACATAAAACAATAGAGTGCATTCAGTAATAATTACCGTGCTCATATAGCCTTATTGTTCCATACAAACATTCACATTGGGGTTTAGCATCATACCTGCATTTCCAAGAGTTCTTTTTGTCGTAAATGATTACTGTGTTAAAAATGTATGCAGTGTTTATTTGATTTATATTATTTTCTTAGAGTATAAATACATTAGGGATCTGACTCTGCTCATTTGGATCTGTTTTATATTGATACATAATAGCTTTAATTTCAGGGGAGGATATCACATTTTAGTTAAATTTGAATGAGAGCAGAATAAAGATGCAATTTTCTTTTTCTTCAGTTAGAAGCAAGCAGGACACACAGAAAACAAATGCAAGCTGGGAATTGTTGTGGTTATATTGTCTTTTTTGTTTTGACTGGGAGATGTGGTTCTTGATTATTAAATTTAGTCATTCTACCACCATTTGCAGAAGAATAGTAGTACTAATAGTACTGTGCAAGACTGTGTGGTAAGCTATCCAGAATAATGAACTCCATTGGCTTAGTGTTTTGGAATGCCATTATGTGAAGTGGGCCTGCTTCCTTTCTGAAGTCTTTCTTCAGCTTGTCTTTTCAATCATATTTAGTGTTGAGACAGTGACCTCAGCTCTCAGGTACTTTCTGAAGGATGTGGGACCAAATATGCCAGAGCGTTCTTTCAGGTTACTGTGCCACCAGTTATTCAGTGTGCTTGCAAAAGGGGAGTGGAAGACAAGAAGGTTGACTTATTTACAGCTGATCCTGAGACTACTCTCCTAGCCAGTCATTTAAACCAGCATTTAGAGCACAATCTTAAAGAACAAAGGATAATCCCTGCCTTAATTACAGCCATGGCAGATGAAGAAAATAGTGCTGGAAGCGATTTTGAAAGGCTGTCTAGTTCCTCCTCTTATCTTTCTCAGATCAGCTGTCCCTGCTGTATTCCAGGAAGATGTTTAAAGACCTGCGGTGAAGGAGGGGATTTCAATGTCTCCCTGAGTAATGTACAATCCTTACTGAACTGGTTTTGCAGGCAGGAAGTTTCCTAATAACCTCGCCTAACTGCTGTACATGGAAAGCAGGTTTTCTCTTTCCTCTTTATGTACGTACATACCTTTCTGTGTCCTCCTTTTTTTAGGCCAGAGAACTCTTTTTTTGCCATTTTCAGTGCGCTGCTTCTTATTTTTGAGTTGCTTCTCAGCTATCCTGGAGTGTAGAACTGAGAAGTTACCAGACTACTCCAGTTTAAATAACCACAGCTGGTGAGGTTAAACTGATTTTTTTTTCATTATCTTACCGAAGATCTCCCTACTTATGCATTCCAGTATCAGCATAATGTAAGATAGCTTAACGTTTCTAACTGTTTAGCGTGTGTGATGTGTAATCTCTCCTCTAAGTAATTGTTTTCTGTCCTGGCACTTATTTGTGCAGTGGATTATTCCTCTGTGTATGTAGAACTTTCTGTTTCTCCTTATTTAGTGTCATTTCATCTTTTCCAATATGTCAGCATCCTTCTCAATTGTCATGCTGCGCTCCAGCATAGCAGGAACCTTTGCCTGTATATAAAGCCTTTGCATGTGAATAAGTGTATTCTGTTTAGTCATCCAAGATGTTGATGGAAATATCAAATAGCTCTGGATTCAAGACAGATCTCAGTGAAGTCGCAGTCAATACATCCTTTCAACTTGGGAGTACCAAATATTTCAGTATAATTATGCACTAATGCTGTATACTTCTCTAGACCTTATTTTTTCCTTTCAGTTAAGAGCAACTTAAATGCAACCCTATGACCCTCCCTTTTTCCAGCCTATTCACAAAGCCTGTTACCATCTGCTAGAAGTGATCTAGGTTGATCTGGTGTTGGTTGTTACTGACAAACCCATGCTGTTACTTCTCATGTATTTACTTTCAATATGCTTAAAAATGGTTGGATTGCCTGTTCAATTTTTTTTCAAATTTTCTGGGGAAAAGGAGGCTGAGGGGAGACCTTATTGCTCTCTTCCAATATCTGAAAGGTGCTTACAGCAAGAGCAGGGCTGGTCTCTTCTCACTGGTGGCAGGTGACAGGATGAGGGGAAATGGCCTCAAGTTCCACCAGGGTAAGTTTAGGTTGGATATCAGGAAACACTTCTTTACAGAAAGGGTTGCTAAGCACTGGAATAGGCTGCCCAGGGAGGTGGTTAAGTCACCATCCCTGGGTATGTTTAAAAACCGTTTGGATGTGGCTCAGGGACATGATTTAGCAGAGGGTTGTTAGAGTTAGGGTAGTTCTGGTTAGGTTGTGGTTGGACTTGATGATCTTTAATGTCTTTTCCGACCAGAGCAATTCTATGATTCTATGAAACCAGGATTTTTTTAAGAGTAGAAATAAAGAGAATCAGCTTGTAGTGCTTTTTCCTTTCCACATTTTTTCCTTTTCCAGTTTTGTGGAATCTCACTCATTCTGTATTTATCCTTGGTGTTAATCGTTTGCAGCTCTAACACGGCTTGTACCCTCTGGGAATTTCATCATATCCACTCTATCAAAAATCTTTTATTTATACAAGTATTTTCCATGATATTTCTTCATTCTTCTGCTTAAGCTGTTAGTCCTTTGTCAGTGGTGCTAGTAGTAAAATCACATCTGCCTTTAACTGAAGACAAAGGTTTAAGACATTAGGGTGTCTCAGTGTCATCAGTGATTATGTGATAATTAAATAGATGTCTCCCTCTGTAGAATAACAGACCAGTTATTTCCTTGGTCTTCTCACTGCACTTTTTCTTCCAGCTTCCTTGTTATCTTTTAATTCCAGTTGTTTAACATGTTTATTCATAATTCAGTAATTTGACCTGCTTTCTGTTTTCTTTCATGTCATTGAAAAATCTCATGATCCAGCCGAGTTAGTTCACTTCCTTGCCATCTTCTGTACTGACCAAATTCTGCCGTTCTGCCTTCAGCAGTTCTGAACTTTAAGCTGACCTGAACTCACACAAGTTTTGCTACTGGTTCTTGGAGTTTGTGTCTCTATTTGGTTCTTCATCCTCTTCCCAACAATGAATATAAATCAATAAAAGAGGGCCAGGTTGGGCAGTAGGGGTTTTGTTGTTTCTCTGTATAATAGGAATTCCTTCCATACGTCATTTAATTTTACTGGGTTTTCTGTTACATTGGCTTAGGTGCTATCCGGTCACTGGCTCATCTTAGGGAGGTGAAATATTTACGTTCCCAAACAACAACAAATGTATCAGGTTGCTCAAATCTCTTCAGAATACTTTGCATGAGGAAAGATTTTTATCAATAGAGCAGGAATAGCATTCTCTTTCAAAACAAGAGATTCACAGTTGTCAACTATATCAAATGTTGTTCTCTTTGAGCTCCCCGCTCACCTCAGAGAAAGGTTGGCATTTAGCATCTGATTCTGAAATGACCAAAGCATCTCCTATTGTTTTCCACCATACCTGTAAATTCAGCTAATCGGGCCTTTGATAAAGGGGAAAGTCATGAGGGAAGAAGGAATGCCATTTCATAGGTGATGAAAGAAATGCTGACATAAATGGCTTCACACGAATCTTACAGAATGAGGCTTGGAAATCCATTTAGTGTATGCTTTCTACAGTATAAAGCAAGCTAGAAGATTCACGTTAAACTTAGTTTGTTTAATACAGCTCCATTTCCATCGTTTGTGTAGATATGAACTGATGATCACCCTAAATGCTTTAAAAATCATTTTTTTGGCAATTGAATAAATACTGTGTTGTTTGTTTGTTTTTTTTTTTTCTTCCTGGTACATGAATATGTTAAGAAATCAACATGAGATCCAGTCAGTTCAGAATGCTTTGAAGAATAGGTTTTGGAGTTATTGAGTCCCTTTTGCCACTCCATGTGGCTTTGTGGCTACAATTTTCCATACATACATAGAAGAAAAAAAAAGTCTCTGCTGCCTGGAAGGTACATGCACAAAAACTGTGATACAGCATAACTGAGGCCCCAGTCCTGGAGCAGATGTGACAACATTCATTTCTCTAAAGATCTGGCGGCTTTGTTAGTATTTTGCAGCACCAGCAGGAGACTTGGGTAAGAGATCACTGAATGACTGAGGCATTGCTAAACATCAGAGAAATGGTTATATCTGAAGTGTTAATTATGCATAAGGTACAGTTAACACAAGAAAGAGTTGTGAGATTCTATGTTCTAGTGATTTGAATACTTTGTATGCAGTAGTAAAACATACTTCAAGAAGGTTCAGCTGCAGTACAGGTAGGACATATTACAAAGTCAATTTTAGAGCTCCAGTAGAACAGTTAAATAATAATAGGCTTTACAATTTATTTTTGCTTGTAAATAACTAAATTAAATTTAAATGGTATCTCTAAGTTGCATTTAAAAATATGCATCCTGTTCCAGTGGAATGGGTAACAAGAAGTTGGGTTTCTACTGATGGAAGATGACACTGGCATGGCTGTATATGAAGACAGGCTTAATAGATGTATGACACACCTAAAACTGAAGGAGAAAGTAATCTGTAAAGAAAAATTAGCAGTAACCAAGGGGCAACCTATTGTAGGGAACCTGCTTTAGCAGGAGGTTGGACTTCATGATACCCAGAGGTCTCTACGGTTCTGTGATTCTGTGGGAGAAATGTTTCTGCCCAATCAGCAGTGCTGTGTGATGTCTGAGAGAAGCCTGTGAGGTGAGGCTGTGTCTGTCCTGAAATTAACGTAGGTTGCTTTTAAAGCCACTTCTTGACAGACCCGTGCTCCTGGTCTCAGTGAATCCCAGTCTGACCTGATCTGCTTCGCCTCACGCATAAAAACCTTTGCAAAACTAAGCAAGTTAAAACCATACTTTGGCTTTCCATATTTTGACAGCAGTGCTTTTAGCTATTATATCACTTTGCACTTCAATAGCTTAATTCACTGAAGTAGTTCAAAGCGTTCTGCAAACTTCATAAAAAGGAAGCTACTTTGAAAAAAAAATAAAATCCATTGTCTCACATTTGTGAATCTAGCAATTCCAGTAAGTGGAATCTAACATCACCAGGACCGAGTTCAGAGAATGAAGGACTTTCATAGGGGTGGGAAACCCCTACCCAGACCCCTTTAAAGCAAGTTAACTTGAGTTTGTTCACTCCCTCTGGCTTCCATAGTGGTCATTTCATCTTAGAGCATGGACAAGTCTGTCTGCAGCTAAGCAGAACAAGAGCGGATCTGTCTCAGCTCTCCTTGTTCTTGTAGTACTGCTGGCAGCAGCCACATAGCACACAGCTATGGCTGGGCCTGATACAGGACAGGAAGAGCGAGGGGTGTGGGGGCTGCAGGCAGATAAGGAGCTATGGGGGGTAGAAAAACATTTTGTTTTATCAAAAAGTATCCAGAGTTGGGAGGGATCCACATGGATCACTAAGTCCAACCCCTGGTTCCACGCAGAACCACCCAAATCCAAACCCTTTGAGTGTGTTGTGCAGCACTCCTTGAACTCTGGCAGCTCGGTGCCATAGCCCTGGGGAGCCTGTTCCACTGCCTGATCACTCTCTGGTGAAAAACCTTTTCCTAACACCCAGTTTGACCTTGTCGAGATCACACAAGACTTCACTGCATCACAGAATCATTAATGTTGGAAAAGACCACTAATATCACCTAGACCAACCGTCATTCCCACCATGCCCACTAACCACGGCTCTCAGTGCCACGTCCACACAGTTTGTGAACACCTGCAGGGACAGTAACTGCACCACCTGCCTGGGGATCCTATGCCAGTGCTTCAGCACTCTTTTGGAGAAGAAATTTTTCCTGATATCCAGCTTGAACCTCCCCTTGTGCAACTTAAGGCCATCACCTCTTGTCCTATCACTGTTAACCTGGGAGAAGAGGCTGACTCCCAGTTCCCGCAACCTCTTTTCAGGGGGCTATAAGGAGCAATAAGGTTTCCTCTGAGCCTCCTGACTGAGCAGTCCCGGTTCTCTCAGCTGCTCCCCATCACACTTGTGCTCCAGACCCCTCACAGACTCATTACCCTTCTCTGGATGCACTCTGGGGCCTCAGTGTACTTCTTATGAGGGGCTCAAGCACAGAGAGCATTGAGAAAGGAGAACGAGCAGCTGATTTTCAGTTTTGTTACGAGAACTGAATAGGGTACACAATACCTATGCCTGCAGTGACAGCAGTATAAATACACCAGAGATCTTCTTCCAGTGCCTGTGTACTGCTCTCCACTCTTGAAACTCCACTTGTGGTTGATGAGTGAAAAATAAAATAATAAAGTTAGTACATAATTAATTTTGTTTGTTTGTTTGTTTTTTAATGTAGGATGGAACTTCGCTACGCTAAACAGGCGGACTGATAACGAAGCATAAACGCACACGCAGAGCCCCGCGGTCTGGTGTTAGCTCTGTGCCTGACGCGAGCCCCGAACCCGCAGCCTTACCGCCCCACGGCTCTGGGCGGCAGTTCCAGGTGCGGGGTCGCCCAGCGCCCGCGCCCACCTGCAGCCCGAGGCGGCCGCCCCGCCCCTGCACGTCGGGCGAGCGGTCGGAGGGTGGAGTGAGAGGGCCGGGCCGGGCGGCGGCGCGCCCCGCCGGGCGGGCAGCCCGGCACTTTCCTTTTCGGAGCGGGGAGGAGCGGCAGCTGCGCAGGCGTTGCTCGCACCCTGTTGATTAGTCAGTGCTGGGATGGCGCTTCCTGGGCCAGGCGCGGCGGCGGGCGGCCCCAGCCGGTGCCGTGGGGCGGCGGGAGCAGCGTCGGCCGCTCGGCGGGCCTCCCCCTCTGCTTAGCCCAGCATGTCCCGCGGCGGTAGCCGGCGCTGAGCGCGGCGAGCTGCCTCCCCGCTTCCCTCCCTCCCTCTCCCTTTCCCTCCCTTACGCCGCCGTCCCGCCGGGTGGGAGCGACCCCCGCCTGCGCTGCCCGCCCGGTTCCCTTCCCTCCGCGCCGCTGCCCTGCCCGGGCCAGGCGGGAAGATGGACCCCGGCTCCTCGCTGGGCTTCAGCCTGAAGGACGTGAAGTGGAGCGCGGTGGCCGTCCCTCTGGACCTGCTCGTCAGCACCTACCGCCTCCCGCAGATCGCCCGGCTGGACAGCGGTGCGTGGGGCGGGCGGCGGGGCCGCGCGGGGGTCGGGCCGCTCTCAGCCGTGCAGGGGGCGGCCGCGAGGCCCCGGGGCTCCGGTGTCGGCAGTGCCGCGGGGCTCGGGCTCGCGACTGAGCGAAGCGTGACGGGGTGCGGGAGGCTGCTCGCCGCCAGCCCAGGTTAGAGCGGTGTGAGAGGAGAGCCGGTGCGGTGGCGCGATGCTGCAGCAGGGCCGAGGAGGGGGAATATTGCACGGCGGAGCCGGGCTCGTCGCCTGTCACAGCTTGCTAGGAAAGCGGCGGAGCTGTGAGAACCAGGGGTGACGCGAGGTGCCTGCTCCCGGACAACTTCGTACTGCTGTTCCGTTGGGCGCCCACCTGCACCAATCGGTGTGCGTGTGCCTCCAGCCCAGGGGATGAGGAGCCAGCCTGGGTGGCGGCGGTGCCCGCTGAGGAGGCAGCGCTCGGTGCTTGGGCAGCGCAGGGGTTTCTCCGGAGGCTCGCACTGCTGCTTCGCGATGGCGTTGCATCGTGGCTCCCTGAAACCGTCCTGCTTTCCCATCCCTGACGGAATGCAGAGGATAACTCAAAATTTGGAAACGTGTCTGGGCTGTGCGTTTTGTTAGTATATGAAGTGGCCTTGTAGTTGCTTGCTGGAACAGATCGGAGCTCTCACAAAGTTTTCTGTTGGTTTGAAAAGTGAGAAAGGAGCGTGAGTGCTGTGTGCTGTGACTCCCCGTGTGCTAGGCAGGACTGGGACTGGGTTATTGCTTAACTGCAGCTCCCATAACCCTGCAGCAATCCTAGCCAGGGCTTTTTGACTTTGTCCCTTGGTTGTGCGGCACGCTTCCCAGCCTTTGCCCAGAGCTGCCATGCTGGAGCAGGCTGGTGAAAGCTGCTCTGCCATTTTAGCTGCAGCTGGCTGTTCTTCGTGCTGCCAAACCGATGTTGTCCTGCAATAATGGTAAAGCTGCTGTGTGAAGGAGTTCCTCCTGTGGTAGTACCTCCTGTCCCTGAAGCAGCCAAGATGGCCTCCAGTCACTGCACTTAAGGCTGTCAATTCACTTGCAATTCCTGGCAGCGGTTCAGGCTCTAACAGGGCACATGTATTGATGACTTACTGATTTCCTTCTCTGTATGTCAGGCTCCTTCTCAGCCTCTCTGCTCCCTTTAGAATTGCTCCCTCTGGAGGGAGATGAGAGAGCTCTGTGGATGTTCGGAGGTGAGCAATCTTTTCCCCTCCTCCCCTTCTCTGGGTGTTTTCTGGGGGGTGTCTTGTGCCAGACCAGGTGAGAAGAACGTTGCAGAGACAGAAGTACTGATGGCTTTTTTCAAGGGCTGCTTGTCGCCTGCTCACACCTGAAGCACATCACTACGTAGGTGGACGTGGGCAGTCCTGGGCTCTGTGTGACCATGTCCTGGGATGCCCAGACAGAGGCAGCTGCGCAGGGAACAGACAAAGGCTCTCAGGCCTGCCTTCCCTCATCGTGCAGATGTACCTTTTAACTTAAGGGACTGCAGATGGCAGACAGATCAATATTTTATAAAGAACTCAGACGCCGGTCTCAGTGGTACGAAGAGGATGCTTTTCCTATCTTCAAGGGAAGCTGTCTTGCATCAAGAGGAACAAGAGTCATGAATCAGTGCATGGTGTCCTGAGGAGATAAGCAGGGAACATGCAGTGTGTTGACAGGTAACTTGAGCAACTCTTGTCCTGGGAGCTTGCCTTGTGTGCCTGTCTTTGTCCTGCAAAGCTGCCAAGTAGAGCTCTGTCAGAATTTCTTGATGTGGTTCTGAAGGAAGTGCAAAATCTGTTCCAAATGTGTGTAATCCTATGCCACTGCCTAAGGCAGGTTAGGGTAAAGCTCTCATCTCCACGTCTCTGAAGGTACAGCTTGCAGGTAGTCACCAGCACATTGGAGCAGTAATGGTGTGGAAGTGGCCTGTTCTGTTCCTGAAGAGCTGAGCTCCTGTTGAGGTTGGTGGGAGCTGCATGCACTGCACATGGTATTATCTGTCTTCAGGCACCTTCTGACTTGATAGGAAAAGAGGAGGCAGTTTTAAACTAAAAGAGGGGAGAGTTAGATTAGATGTTAGGAGGAAATTCTTTTCTCAGAAGTGGGTGAGGTACTGGCACTGGATGTCCAGAGAAACAGTGCATGCCCCATCCTTGGAGTTGTTCAGGTCAGATTGGATGGGGCCCTGGGCAGCTTGAGCTGGTGGGGGACAGCCCTGCCTATAGCAAAGGGGGTTAGACCAGTATGATCTTTGAGGTCTCTTCCAAACCAAGGCGTTCAGTGATCCTGTGTCTTCATGGCTGGCTGCTCTGTCCTAGCAGCTGATTGTTTTTCAGGCTGGGTATCTGATCATCGTGAAGTGCTGGGATGGAGTTCATTTCTTGTGTAGCACCAGGAGGTAAAGGGGGGCTGAAATGCTGGAGGTATATTTTCTTCACAGGAGACCAGCTTTGCTGCATTGTTTCTGCATTTTTTTAATGGAGGTAGTGCACCATGGGTAATGCTCTTACATTATATGCATACAAGATCTCATGTTTTTCACTGCTGCCTCACCTTCAGGCCTTGTATTTGGAAGGGGGAGAAGGGCTATGATGAATGTGGTTTCATGCTTGGAGTTAAGATGTGCATCTCCTGGAAGAGTGCCCTTAAGTATTTCTGTTTGATTTCTTGACAGGATGAAGTTATGAAATATTGATGTGCACTAAATTCGGTCCTCTGCAAGAAGGGAGGATTTTTCTGGATGGCATGGGATAAAGGAGGGCTGGAAGGAGGTAGTCTCTCGCTGCATCAAGGTGGAGCAGTTAAGCAGCAGTGCCTACCTTATCTATCCTTAAATGATAACTTTGTTAGTATCTAGTTCTCAGGTGAAATTCTAGGACTGTTTGGTTGGGTTCCAGTTATCCTTTTGTATGCCAAGTTAAGTTTTTGAGATGGCCATTTTGAAGAAGGCTAATGCCTGTGTGTTTGCTTTAGTCAGCTTTGTGTTTTAATATTTTCCTGGTGAATACTGTTAACGTTGACTGAACAAGTAGAGCAAATGGTGTTGCTCTGAGAAGAATGCTTTTCCAGCCTGAATGTTTCCAGAGGGCAACTCAAACACAAAGCTACTGAAAGAGTACTTAGCACTGGGAACCTGCAGCAGAAAGGGCTCATGTCTGAGCCTGGCTGTAGCCTTATGGCTAGAGGTGTGCATAGTTGGACTGAGAACATGCAGGCGGATGCACAAAGAGGCTCGGGGTGGCTGTTTTTGGATAAAGAGTAGTGAAGGCAAAAACTGAAAACATGACAGTTTTCTCCTAATTTGTACAGGTACAGTGATGCTGAGTGTGATTATTTCAACACTTTGCTTTCCTGGTGATTGTTTTTCTAGGATAACTTTGGAGGGTAAAAGAGAAGTGCTATTCAGGTTAAGATCTGGAAAATGCTGTTTTGCATAGAGCTGACCTTCAGGCCGAGCATTCCTGTGTAAGCTCACTGCTTGCCCTTGTGCTTGGTGGGACTCCCTTTCACCCTGCTGCTGTGCAGCCAAGAAGCAGGCTGCCAGCTGAGAGCTGTGACCCACAGTTTGGCTGCAAAGAGTTCACAGAAATCCAGGCCTTGTGTATGAAGACTGAAGTTTCTGGGATTAAGAGGGCATGTGATCCTCTGGTGCAACTTCTTTTTTTTTTTTTCCGCAAGGGATGAGCACATTTGTGCGTGCTCTAATAATGTTTTAGGGAAATATGCTGTAGAGATCAGATGTGGCACTTGGCTGGGTTGGGGGAAGTCCTCAGCTGGTGGAGAAGTGATTCCCTGCTGTGTGCTATGTAAAAACAACAGTGATCTTTTTCTGGAGGATCATTACAAGCCATTAAGACTCAGAAGGGTATTCTTTTCTGTAAATGTGTGGTTACTTTAAAGTGAAATGACAGAAATAGTGGCCAGAAAGAAGGAAAGATCTATGTAATAGGCAGCAATCTTTTTATAAAAGTGATTCCTTAGTCCTGGCAGAACTCTAGTGAAGAGCAGCGGTGGGGTGAACAGTGAGTTTGTGCTACTACTGCTCCTGGGGCAAAGATTTTATTTATTGTAAGTATTCAGGTACTCTTTTTCGCTCTCCTTTTTACAGCCTTTCCCTTTGACATCCTTCTGCTCCAGCAGTCTCAGTGGCCTGTTGTTTCCTGCAGCACGTTACTGTGGGGCTTATTCCAGTTGTAAATAAGTTGAAACCGAGCGCCCTTGCAGCTTATCAAAGACTGTCGTACTGGAGAGAACATCTTGGCCGTGTACATAATGACAATTCCATATTGCGTCAGTCCACAAATGCGGGTTGTCTGTGTGGCCAGACAATGCTTGGAAACTACAAAGAATCTTGTTCTTTTTATTCTGGGTGCTGCTGCCCCTGCTTTGATTGTCCTGAATGACCTCTTCCTCTCAAGAAACTGCTGCAGAGCTCCTCTGTAGCCTGCTGTTGGTGTGAGGGGGTGTGAATCACGTGGGGGTGGGACGTGGCTTTCAAGTAGACCAGAAAAGGGACTTCAGATGTGCTGAGGCTTTGAGCAGATGCTGTGATCTGACCTCCCACTCATGGTATGGCTGGCTGCTGTGTGCTGTGTTGGTAGGTTACAGTTGTTGTGCGCTGTGCAGGTAGACTAAAATAAATTTTTTTTTTTTTTTTTTTTTTTTTGTAACCTATCCATCCTGAAATATGTTATAGCCACATGGCTTGATTTCTTCCTTAGGTGCTGAGCAACTTTGAAATACCAGTTGCTTGTTCTGTATGTTCTGCCACTGTAGTAAAATATTAGAAACATCTTGCTTTCTCTTGTTTCCTCCTTTGCCTTATGGTCTGCTGTATTTCCACCAAGATAATCAAATGAAGATACAATTGACAGGTTGCTAACCACTGGTACTGGTTGTTGTCTTTTGTCATTGTTTTTCTTTTTCCCCTGTTGGCAGAGGTGTGTTCCAGGAACGTTTTAGTGAAAAAGCTTTTAATTCATTTAAAATCTGCAGCTA